GAAGACAAAAGAGAGGAAGCACAGCGGAATGGCGGTGTTACAGGGAACGAGAAGGGGAGGGAGGGAAGCCTACGAGCAGAAGTTATGCGTGTGGGGCGTGGTGAAAAGACCCACGGGCAGCTGTGATACTGAGGAAGTCTGGAGGCCAGTGCTTCAGTATGCTAACAGGCACCACAGGTGGCCATTTGTCCTGAGTTCCTTCTAAACCTTACATCAAGCAATTGCTAAGAACCACTGAGGCACACCAGCAGATCTTAAGTTGTATTTAGATTTGTTCTCATTGGACATAGTTCATTTTCTCTATTTTTTTGAGGGGTGGGGGAGGTGTGAGATGGGGTTTCTCTGTGTAGCCCTGGCTCTCCTGGAACTCACTCTGCAGACCAGGCTGGGTTATTAAAGAAAAACTGGAGTGCAAGGCATGGAACACCTCCTTACAAGTTATTGGTCAGGGAAGCTCCGTACAAACAACCGCAGTTATTGCCATTGCTCCTGGTTACCCACCATATCTACATGGTTATTGCCATTGCTCCTGGTTATCCACCATATCTACATGGTTATTGCCATTGCTCCTGGTTACCTACCATATCCATATGGTAAGCTCTTATTGCTGAAGACACCACACACTTTGGCTGCAGAACATAAACCAATCTCAAAGTTACTGGGAAACTTGCTCACCACTGGCTAGCTTCCATAGTGTCAGAGGTACTGTGCAGGGTGCTGGATGAGTGCTGGACCCTATGTGCCACAGTACTGACCTGCCAGGTATGATGTGCCCACTGGTGCAGTACTGGCATGGCTGTGATCGGGGGTAACTAACCTCTTTCTGAGTGGATTTGAGGCCTGATTCCCAGCAGGGGATTTCATGCCTGGTACTCTTAACTCTAGTCAAAACCCATACCTGGAGAAGTCATAAGCCCTACGGTAGGTCCTGCTGTTGTTATTTTTTCTGAATGGCCACACTGTGAAATATTTATACTTATACTTATAGACCTGGGCTACTCTCAACCCGGGTCAGAGAAACTCCTTTCTGCAGCATGCAGCCATCAATGCAGAGACACAGAACTGGTCAAAGTGCTGTGAAGAACAGACTGAGTGCTCAACTTTAAATGGGAAATCTTTATAAGCACTAACCTTCTCTACCCTCGCTAAGACTCAGGGCACTTTGAGGAGCGGGCAGCAGAGATGGCGGCAGGAGCTGGAGAAGGGGAAGGAGTGGTGTGAAGTGCTCTCTCTGGACATGACATGGCGATCACGCTCACCCTGAACTCACAGCAGCTGTAGTTTCCTGACTGAGACCTACAGGAGACCAAGGTGACTAAACCCCTCAGACAGGGTAGATGATCCCTGAGTCTCACCTTACACCCAGGAGCTTTTGGTAGTTGACAGCCTCTGGGGAAGAGAGAGGCACTCGAGGGTGTGGACAACAGTGAGTTCCCAGGCTTCAGGGGAGCCTCCTGCACCCTGCCACCCACATGCACACACGGGCAGTACTAATTGGATTTAATGAGTTATCGAGTTAAAAAAAAGAATAAACAGAAAAGAAAAAGAAGTCATGAAGTTAGGAGTTAGTCAAGGGTTTGGGGCTACAGAGGGAGTTGGAGGGGGAAGTGGGAATATATATGATCATATTTCATTGTATGCATGCATGAAATCTTCAAAGAATAAAAAACAATCAACACAAGAGGCTGGAGAGATGGCTCAGAGGTTAAGAGCACTGACTGCTCTTCTGGAGGTCCTGAGTTCAATTCCCAGCAGCACCACATGGTGGCTCACAACCACCTGTAATGAGATCTGGTGCCTTCTTCTGGCCTGCAGCAATACATGCAGGCAAAACACTGTATACATAATAAACGAATAAGTCTAAAAAAAATCAACACATAATCAAGAAAATTAGATTTTTTTTAATTGGGGGGACATTTCAAAACAGGGTCTCACTATGTAGCCCTGGCTGTCCTGGAACTTAATAGGTAGACCAGGCTGGCCTTGAACTCACAGAGATCCACCTGCCTCTGCTTCCCTAATGCTGGGACTAAAGGCATGTGCCACTATGTGACTGAGAAAAACGGATTTTTTTTTTTTTTCCCAAGGCAGGGTTTCTCTGTGTAACAGCTATGGCTGTCCTGGAACTCACTCTGTAGACCAGGCTAGCCTCAAACTCAGAGATCCACCTGCCTCTGCCTCCTGAGTGCTGGGATTAAAGGTGTATGCCACCATGCCCAGCCCTTACTCTGGATTATTAAACCTGAAATGATCCTCCTAGAACACAGTTCAAAATCTGCCTAGATTCTGTGTGAAGACTGTGAACCCCTAGGGGGAAAATTGCTTAGTGTGGCATTCCCAGACTATGACTCACTGTAACCCATTCTAACCTTCCCTCTGCCCATCCCCCTGACTCTGGAGAACCTCTCCCTGGCTGCTGAGCCCAGTGCTCTCTCCAGTCACTTTACACATGTAGATCCCTCTGGAAGCTTCCCTCATTCTGACAAACTCTTAGTCCACCAGCAAGCCTCCCCCAGGCTTGGGTAGCCTGTCCCTGTGCAGTACTCTGGGTCACACTGATGTCCCTTCAGAGTTCAAGGGCATCTTGAACTCCCTGGCATCAAACCAATCGTCTTCCTTGAGGCAGAAGAGCCAGGGGGCCCAATCCTTTGCATCTCCTTTAGCCAGCTTTTTTCCAGGAGGTGGGGCAGTATCCCACCCTGGCAGCCCTCCCTGTGGGTCCTCTAGGGAGGAGGCTGGGGCACTGTCACATGAGCTCTGGAGGTGGAGAGGCCCACCCCAAGCCCCAGCCTTTGACATCTGCATCAGGCAAGCTCCTTGCCTCTGTATGCCCAGCCTTGTCATCTGTACAGAAATAAGTAGCACCTAGCTCTTAGGGACTATGATGGCCATTCTTGGTTGCTAACTTGACCACATCTGGAATCAACTAAAATCCAAGTTAGTGGGCATCCTGTGAAGGTTTGTCTTAATCGGATTATTTGAAGCAGGAAGACCCACCCTAAACCTGGGCCATACCTTCTGTTGGCAGCCTACAAAAAAGGACATGGAAGAAGGACGCTTTGCTTTTGCCTGCTTGCCCTCACTCTTGCTGGAAAGTTCATCTATCCTGCTATGGAGGTGTGCATTCCTTCACTGATATTAGAACCTACTTCTTTGGAATTCTAACATAGACTGAAGGCCAGCTAAGATATCCAGCCTTGTGTATTGAACAACTATTAGATTCTTAGGAGACAGCCATTGTTGGACTAGCTGGACCACAGCCTGTAAGTCACTCTAATAAATCCTTGTTTAATATATATATATATATATATGATAGATTCATCCTATCAGTTCTGTTCCTCTAGAGGACCCTAACACAGGTAGCGAAGTAGTGATTGCTCTCTGGATGATGAGCATTACTCCCACATCCACACTGGCGAGGTATGCTTATGTCCTGGCACATTTTATCCACATTCCCAGTAGCAAGGTAGGAATGTCAGCTGGAGCCAGTGCATAGAGCGGGAAAAGAAAACATGGAGGCAGATTGTCATCTGCTTCACCCCTGGCCCACCAGGATTCAATACTCTTCCATTCCCTGGGAATGGGAAAGAATCGGGATCAAGGGAGGGAGGCTGCAGATGTGGGGTGCACCAGCTCCTGCCAGGGGTGCCCACCAGCACAATGATGATGACATCACACAATGGAGAGACAGCAGCCATAGGGGAGTAGGAGCAGAGAGCTTCTTCTTGGCCTTTCTTCCGCTGGTTCCACATCCCCAGTACAGGTGCTCAGGACCCTCACCTTTCCAAGTTCTTCTACATGCCAGTTAAACGCAGAGCCGGGGGCTTTGCTGTCACATTTGCTGCCACATCCCCAAGAGGCATGAGTAATTGCCCACGTTACATGTAAACCCAAGATGAGAAGACAGGAGCTCGCGGGCAGTACCTCCTCTGTCTCCACAGATACTGTAAGCAGGCAGGCTTGTCTCTCACTGCTTGATGAGGCTCTGTTCCTGGGGAGCCTCAACTTACAGTCACAAGGACCTAAGTTAGACTTTGGAACCTGAGGCTTCACCCCGTCTCAGCCTGCACCTCTCAACTTAACCCAGGCTGTACAGGACACAGTCCTCCCAGCTGCACACAGCGGGCCTGGAATCGTCCCGAGTCTTCGGAACCAAAGCTCTGGACTCTACCGTCTCAACTCTGGAGTTCAGCCCCTTCCTTGCACCGCGCTTTGGGTGTCCCAGTGCTAAACGAAGCACCCCAACCACACCAAATGTCCTTCGAGCTCCCGGTGCCAGGCAAACCTTGCTGGAGGCCTGCACTGTGAACCACTCCTTTCCTGCTCTTGTTGGTGCTGGGTGTGAGAGCTAACATTATGTTTTAAGTCTAAATGACTGAGCTTAAGAGATCTAAAAACAGCAACGCCTCTGCCCTGTGAGCCCCACTCGCCAAGGACAGAGAACTTTCTGCAATGTTGTTCATGTAAGAGAGCAAGTCACACATTACCACTTCAGTAAACTAGGCTGCTGCCCCAGCTGCACAGGATGCCTCTGATCACAGGCAGGCAGGAGGCACATCAGGATGTGTGCTCGCCCCTGGCTGGACTAAAGTGGGAGCGCATAGCCTCGGGGGGGTTGTCTTTACAAGCAAAAAATGTAATTCTGTGCCATACTCTGGGAATCCTGGGTATGGACCTGGCCAGTGTCCACTGTCCTGGCCAATATTTAGTAAAGCTTGCCTTAAATTTGGCTCAAAACTTATGGTAGTGGTCTCATTCTCTCCCGGTGGGGTTAACACGAGGCTTCCTCCCACGTCACTCCCCAGTCCCACACTCTACTTAAGCAGACAACCTTCATTCCAGCCACAAGAAGACTCTAGGGACTCCGCAGTTTCTCCTCAGGTTCTTCCCACCTCAGCTGTCCTGTCCACCCCCACCCCACCCCACCCCCCGTCGGGTCCTGAGAATCATGGTCTTCGGCACCCACCCTTTGTCAACCAAAGGTGGCAAACCACACTTCGTTTGGCCTCCATAGCTTATTAAAGTTTTAGTTAGCTGTTACCATTTAAAAATCAGAAAATTCTGCATAAGGATCCAGCATTCTAGTTTCTTTTGAAAAGTGAGACCTGGTGACCCAAGCACCCCACCCCCACACCAGTCCTCCATGGTGACAACCAGCTACAGCTAGTATTAGCCGGTCCTTTGCTCCCTTGGGGCTCATGCTCAGCCTTCTGAAGTTCTAAGCCTCCTAATAGCCACTGCCATACGCCCCGGCCATGGCGGCTTCTGACTACATCTTTGCATGAGGCTCTTCTTCCAAAGGAGCAGAAGGCTGGGGAGGCTGTCCGAGCCCATCTTTCCTTTGCCTCGGGCCTCAGCGTGGGCGGGCGGGCGGGCGGGCAGAGCAGAGTAAGCGGGAAGGCAGGGTGGAGAATCCCAGTCAAGAGCCCACCTCCAGCCTAGCCTCTCTCTGGCAATTTTCCAGCAGCATCCCAGGAACTGCCTGTGTCCTGTCTTGAGCCTGGCTGGGGCCAGGCTGCCCCAGATACAGAGCTGTCTGGCTCTTCCTGCAGGCCACTCTGCGTCCTGAGCTGGGCCTCAGGCCTGAGGTTTCCTGAGCTTGAGCAGCACTGAGGTCTGGAATAACAGCTTCCATACTGTTCAGCCAACTCAGCCAAATATGCACCACGGGGTGGCTGCCTTGTCGCAGTCCAGCACGATATTGAGAACAGTGCAGGGGGCCCCTCCTACAGACAGCGCTGTGCGGGAATCCACCCGGTACTTCACAGTGTTCAGACCTCCCTCCCGGTCCACCTTGAATTGCTCCTGGGAAGAAGAGAAGGAAAAAACATGAACTCACACATCATGATGCCAGCTGCCCACCCATCTCCACTGAAAGGGGAGCGCCCAAAGCTGCCCTCTTGCCAAGCCCGCACCCCGTCAGTAAGGAAAACCCACTTTTCTGTGGGGCAAATACACCTCCAAGAAAGGGATTCCGGCACCTTCAGTTAGGCCTTCCCACCCCAGCCTCCATGGGTCAGGTCTGGGCTGATCCACAGTGCCCAGACGCACACAGCAGCCACCAAGCAGGGCAAGGTGTCCATGGAGAATGCCCATCAACTGACCTGACCCAGCAATGAGAGGATGGCACCACTTGGGCAAAAAGAGAACTTGGTGAAATGATAAGGCCTATTGGTTCCGACCTATCCCTCACCCCTGTGGAAACTAGCCAGCACCTGTTTTTGAGCTGCAATGCGTTTCTGGTCCCTCTTCCGCCAGGCTGGGTCATGCAAGTGGCGAAATGTCTGGTACCCAGTTGTGATTCCTGAGGGGCGGAAAAGCTAAGGAAAACAAAGGAAGCAGGGGTCAGGCTGCCTCTCTGGTCATCTTGGCCCTTACCACTGACTCCTCAGGGATCCCACTGGCTGCCATCCTGCAGGACAGGAGACTCTACAGAGAGCCCTGAAAATCGGGGTGAACGCGGGGATCAGAACCAGGGAGACCAACTGCAAACCCTAAGATGCAGCAAGCAAAGGGATCCTCCGGACAGCCCCTCCAGACAGCCCCTCCGGACAGCCACGTAGCCAGGGCCAGGCAGAGCCACGGCAGGGCCAGGCAGGGCCACGGCAGGGCCAGGCAGGGCCAGGCAGGGCCAGGCAGAGCCACGGCAGGGCCAGGCAGGGCCAGGCAGAGCCACGCAGCAGCCTTACCTGGAGGCCAGCTCCCTTGATGCGGCGGTAGAACTCATCGTCCTCTCGGCCCCAGCCCCAGAAGCGGTTGGACATCCCGTTGCACTGACACAAAGACAGGCAGTGTCTGTCACATGCCCTCCTCCCAGGGAGCACTTTAGTCTCTTACTGCTCGGGAGAGCCAAGTCTGAGCCCAGCCAGCCAGGCTCCCTGTCTTCTTCCTGACTGCTCTGAGTGATACAGGGTGCTGGCGGGCCCTGCACTCTGCCGTGGGGATGCGGGGTGGAAGGGAAGGGTCAGCACATCTCAGGCCCTCCCCACTTCTAACAGGGCCTGGAACTTGTATGTGGTAAGTGTCTCCAGTGTCGGCTCCCTTCAGGGGGCAAAACTGCCAACCTCGATAGCTTGTGCCTTCTTCTCGGGCCAGTTCTCCCGAGATGGCTGTGCCCAGGTCTTTCCCTGTGTTTGAGGGACAACCCTGACGAGTATTTGCTCAGGGGCTGTAGTCACGGAGGACAGAGAACAGTCACTCCGATCTTCTCACCCCTCTGTGTCCCTGGGTCCCACCAAGAGCCGGTGTGCTTAGTTCGGGACTCCTGTCTAGATTCTGGGTTGGGGGCGGGGAGGGGCTCCATCTCCCACCAGCCAGGCCGTGTTTTAAGGGCCGGCTATGCATCCTTCTCGCATGAGGAGGGAGGGCCCGGTGACGACGCCGAGAGGGAGATTCCACAGCCATCACATCTCCAGCTCTCTGTGGCCAGCTGGCTCAGGGGCTTCCGTGGTCACAGCAGCGCTCTCCCTGCCTAATGTGCTCATTCCTGGTCCTGTCTTATGTCTCCGGCTGCTGCTGAGTCCACTGTCAAGCTCAGGCAAGACTCCATCTGCTGGGCCCCAGGAAGGCTGCACTCCCCCCACGACTGCCTAGGCCCATGGCGGGAAAGATCCCCAGCATTTAAGTGAGTAGAGCAGGTAGGGCTGGACCTCACCAGCTGGTAGTGCTGCTTGGAGAGCAGCAGAATGCCGCCTACATAGGTCTTGTAGTGGTAGAGAGGGTGGAGCTCTGGGGAGGCCACGTGGAAGGGCCCGGCCTCTGGGAAGCCATAGTCCAGCTCCTCGTTGAGAGGGAGCAGATCCACGTCGTGCATGGCAATGTAGTCTGTGCTGTTGCTGCTCTCCAGGAAGCCCACATTGATGAGCGCTGCCCGATTGAACCTGCGCGAGAAAAAACGATGCTAGGGAGAGGAAGCGAGCTTCACCACCAACCTCGCTCTAGCCCTGGCTGTGCAGAGAATTTCTTCCGCGTCACCACCCAACCCTGTCGTCACTGTCCCCTCTGCTTGCTGCACAATGTTTATGGAGCACTTACTCCACGCCAAACTGTTCAAAGCCACTCTGGAAGAAAGAGCGTCGAGAACCAAATCCTGTTCTCGTGGACTTTGCAATGGGAAGGGGCAAGACGGAGCCAAACAGGGCAGGAGGAAGCTGGCGGGGGAGGTGGGCAGCTGTTCTCCACGGGGCTGTCGGCACAGCCGGGATGGCACTTCAAGCTGGAACCTGAGGGCCTGATCATATGGAAGCTGGAGACAGGGCCCCACACAGAGGAGAGTAACTGCCAAGGCCACCAAGAGCAGACACCAGGAGGACATTGAGAAGAGACTGGGGAGGGACAGACACTGAGAGGCAAGAGGTGATGGTGGGCAGCAGAGGGAACTGTGAGAACTGGGCAGACTCCAGACGTGATTTGCTGATGGTCTGGATGCTGTGACGAACAAAGAGCTTTTTTGGCTTGCATAACTGGAACTATGTAGCTTCCTCTTCCTGAAACGAGGAAGAGGGGAAAGAAAGCAGGTCTGAGGGAGTAGCAATCATAAACTCAGCTATGATCCCGTTGGGACCACCAGATGGAGGCATCATGAGGGAGGCCGAATATGCAGACCTGGAGCTCAGACTAGGGAGTTCCCAGTCATTTAATACCAGGAGATGAGATGGGATGGGACTGTCCACGGGGAGTCTGCAACTGAGGAGAGGGGGTGCTGAGGACAACGCTGAGAGACCAGAGACGGGGAGACGGGCAATGAGATGAGCAGGGCTGGCGACTGAGACGGAGAAAACCAGAAGTTAAGCAGAGGCATCAGAAGGACAAAGATCTGCTTAAGAGAAGCCACTGATGCGGGAGGATGAGAGCCTGGGATTATGGGAGTCACCTGTGACCTCAGTGAGGGCTGTTGCAGATCATAAGAGATGTCTGTTGAAAGAGTCTTGAAGATAATCCCAGCACTCAGAAGGTGGATCTCTGAGTTTGAGGCCAGCCTGGTCTATAGAGCGAGTTTTCCAGGACAGCCAGGGCTATAGAGAAACCCTGTCTTGAGAGGGAGAGGAAGAAGGGAGAGGGGAGGGGAGGGGGACCCTTGAAGGAGGGAATAAAGAAGTGGGGTGATAGCAGTGGAGGTATCAGACAGAGAAGTCTTTTCCCTTCTTTTTCTTATCTTCTGTTTCTCTCTCACATTTTTTTTAGGACAGGGTCTCACTATGCAGCCCTGGCTGTCCTGGAACTTGATATGTAGCTGGCTTTAAACTCCCAGAGACCCACCAGCCTCTGACTCCCAGTGCCGGGATTAAAGGAGTGTACCGCCTTTCCTGGCTCCCTCCTTTTAAAACATTGAGTGTGTGGAAGTCACAGAATGGTGAGGTCAAGGACAGCCTGTGAGAGTCGGACTTCTCCTCCCACCACGTGGATTCACCAGGCTTGGCGGCAAGCTCCTCACCTCCCTATTCCTGCCTTCCTGAGGACGCTGTCTCTGAGCATCTGTGTGTGCTGACGGGAATCCCCGGAAGAGGAAGAGCAGACTATGCAGAAGAGGCCCCAGGGCCACAGCACTGACCTTGAGTAGCAGAGAGGGAGAGGAATCCAAGGCCACAGTGGGAGACAGTCCCAGGGAGGGCAGGGACAGTCACTGCCGGGAGGGAGTGGAGATGGCAGGGAGGAGGAAAGTGCCCTCCCGTGACCTTGTATCACTGTTTCTTCTCACGTCCGTCCGTATACAAGTTATTCCATATACAGAGATCTTTCTAGAGTAGACATCAGATCCGGGCCACTCCAAAGGCTCCACTATCCAGTGGGCGGGGCCTATCCCTCCCACCATATGGCCCTTCCTCCCAATAGCCCCGCTCAGGCCCAAGCCCACTGAGCAACAGGAACAAGCGCTAAGAACCACAGGCAAGGAGAGGCACCGGCACGGTGCTGCTGGCCCAGGAGCCGGTCCTCACCTGAAATGATCCACCTGGTTGAGCACATAGATGTGGTGCGGGATCTTTTTCCTGCTTAGGAAGCGGTGCATGTGGGGCACAAAGACCAGGAGCTCCTCAAAGCGTTCCCGGAAGGGCACCAGCACTGCCAGGCGGTGAGGTCCCCACGATGCATCTTCTTCCCAGTGCTCAGGGGGCGGCTCTGGAGGGCAAGCCCGAGGCGGGCCCGCGGTCTCCTGCCCTTGTCCCCTGGTCACCTGGGCCATGTCTCCAGAGCAGCTGAGCTGCAGCCAGAGCAGGGAGAATAAGACCAGCAGGAGGAAGGCGATGAAGAGGTGGAAGACGGAGCACTTCCTGCGGAGGCCTCCAGGAAGCAACCTGGCCCTGGGATAAGAGCAGGGAGGTGGTCAGGAGGGCAGGGCAGCTAGATCCTTTCAAGACCCTTTCTCTGGCCTCGTCCTCCAGGCTCAGATGACTACTGGCCACCTCTAAATACCTAGGAATTAGTGCAGAAGCAATGTTTAATGATGCTCATGCTACTACCATATATGATCAGCCCACTCACCTCTGTAGGCCCAGCCTGTGCTACCCCGGGACACTCTTGGACCATTCACCTCTGCAGGCCCAGCCTGTGCTACCCCAGGACACTCTCGGACCATTCACCTCTGCAGGTCCAGCCTGTGCTACCCGGGGACACTCTCGGACCATTCACCTCTGCAGGCCCAGCCTGTGCTACCCCGGGACACTCTCAGTCCATTCACCTCTGTAGGCCCAGCCTGTGCTACCCCGGGACACTCTCAGCCCATTCACCTCTGTAGGCCCAACCTGTGCTACCCCGGGACACTCTCGGACCATTCACCTCTGCAGGCCCAGCCTGTGCTACCCCGGGACACTCTCAATCCATTCACCTCTGTAGGCCCAGCCTGTGCTACCCGGGGGACACTCTCAGCCCATTCACCTCTGCAGGCCCAGCCTGTGCTACCCGGGGGACACCCTCAGCCCATTCACCTCTGTAGGCCCAGCCTGTGCTACCCCGGGGACACCCTCAGCCCATTCACCTCTGCAGGCCCAGCCTGTGCTACCCCGGGGACACTC